CATTATTATAACTAACAAAATCTTAAAGAAAACAAGAGAAAAAAATAACAAAAAAGTCTCTATAGTACACGTCTTTAGCGATGATGTTGAAGAAACTACGTACTACCTATTTCATGTTAGTTGTGAAAGGGTTTCCAAGTTGTAATATACCCATAAAATTAAAATTTAAGTGTTGAGATTATTTTACAAGACTGGCATGGGCAATGTGATTGGCCCGGAGCTAAGAATGTGAATAACCTGAGTCGTTAGGACCACATTCATTATGGCATTTGTGCCATTCTCCAAAAGACATAGAGTTGCCTCTTTCACCAATTTATTACTGTTGTCTTCATTTGCTTTAATTAAACTTACCACTACCTTTGCTATAGTAAATGTTGCCAACTTCCTGTTTCTCCACCTCTCTCTCCATTTGACTATGATTATTTTGGGCTACAGCCCATGATTTCTGTTATTTTTTCCTGTCGTCGTTCAAATCTCACTTTCGGCTATTACAANACAAGTATTATGAGTAGAGCAACTTCCTTTTATATAATCCTTTTTCTTTTTGGTAGGTGAGGAGAAGATATTAGTGAGTGAGCCTTGCCGAATATTTGATTTTATAGTCCATTATAAATGTTATTTTTGTTATATGACCCTTTTCACATAAGATCAATAAAAATAACGCGTGAAATTTATAAAAATAATAGAGGAATTTTTTCTATTCAATTGTAAGTGAGCACAGAAGATCTTCTCCTCAGGCTTGAGCATATTGGTGTCGAATCACAAATGTCGATAAACATTAAGCAGACACAAATATGTCTAATTTGGCAACTAGTCCAAGGCACAAGCGTGTTTGTTTCTGTTTCATTCCAAAATTTGTCTGATGCCTATGTGAACAACCTCTAATGACAATCTGAGAGTAGATAGGCTTTTTGTTGTGCATTGTTGACACAAAAAATCTTTAATTTAGAACGTCAGTTCCAACCAAAAAATTATACAAAATGCTCATCATTTGCCAACTAACTAGACAAAAACAACATGTAATATATATATATAAGAGGGCCAATTGATCATTGATGGTGCATGTGGGTCATTTTGTTGGATTACAGGGCTACACCACAGGGGCGGATGCTCGTGGCACCAAGCGGTGTCACCCGACACCGCTTCGCTAAAAAAATTTCTAAATTATATGTGTGGAAAATGATTAAAGGACAAAATAACAAATAAATAAATTTGGATGACACCTCTTGCCACACGAAGCATCTTTTGCTCAGCGGTTCGGCAGTGGCTTTGTGTTGAGTGAAAAGGTCCCAAGTTCAAATCCTCTTGCTAGCATTTCATTCAGCCAACAAAATGCAGCGAAATTCCAAGAAAAAAGTTTAAACATGAATATTTTGCAAACTGGCTTCATCTTTTTTTTTTGAGAAAAGAACCTTAGAGAACACTAAACCTAGAGAAGACAATTCAACGAAATTCCAAGACTAAGAAATATGAGTAGCACTTTATAAGTTTATATAATTTTGTAGAGTTTAAATATCTAATCGAAATTCTACTTAATTTGTAATTCAGTAAAAATTAATAAAATATTCTCCTATTATATTTCAAGTTTTTAAANTCTCATAATTTGAAGGAGATTTCCATAAATCAGAACAATAGCATCCTGTTGAAAGATTGAGCGAAAGAATTGAGTTAGATTTCCTAATGTTTTATCTGAGTAAATGTTACCAATATGAATATATCATCCAAACAACTATCATAGAATAAGAAAATGGTATATTCAACTAAACGAAAAGTGCGACTATCATGAAAAGATTTCAAGAAAAAGAAAGCTCGTAGAAGATAATTGTGTTAATACATTTAAATGTGATTTACTAAGATAATCTTGTTACAGTAATTTGTTCATCAGTTCACTTCTTAAAATATTGACACCGCTTAGTAAATATCCTGTGTACGCCCCTGCTACACCAAAAGAGGATACATTGCAGAGCAATGAACCGAACCCAAGTTTTTTGGAGTTTAGACATACCTGAGAATGCCCTAACATCCTTTTCAACTACAGCCTAGAAGGCTAGAGATCCTCATCCCAACTAGCCAGGCAGGACCATACCCTACCTACAATTACAACTATTATTACTATGTCTCAATCACAAACAAGTTGCAATCGGCTATATGAATACTCACCTTCTCCACTTAAGCTCAAGCATATCCTACAACCTCCAAGACAGAAGCTGCACCTGCACTAAAGTTTTCCAAAGATAGGGTAAAAGAGCAGGGTTCCAGTTTTTGCAGAACTTAACCGGGTTCCTGCTCATTATTTAACCTGATTTCCTACTCACTTTCCTCGCCAAGAAGATTGTACAACCTAAGTCTCAGTGGTCGCAAACAATTAATGGTAATCAGTCATTTTGGTAATTAATTCCATCCATGTAAGTTTGCTCATATTGGTGGCCCATAAACCCGAATAAAAGAAGACGGTTGTAGTAGCTTAACAAGACAACGTAAACTAGTCAATATATGATTGCTTGGTTTGGCAATTGTCATGTCCTCAAAACTTTTGATACAATCGAGAAACCAATAGCATCTATATGTCGTCTCGACTCACAAAGATCAAGCTAGCTAAGAGTGAAAATGCATCAGAATAGAGAAAGGAGTATCATATTGCAAGAAAGCAACGACATACAGGCTTAAAACAAGAACAAATTACATTTAGTATGGGAAACAATTCCCAATACATATCAAAATATCCTCAAAATATTTTCATCCAGTGAAGTACTAAGGTTTGGGATACAATCAACCCCTATAAAAGCAGCAAGAGGAAGTAAAAAAAAAATATGTTTTACAATAAACATATAATATTAAAAAAAATTGAACAATCCTCTCTATTGTACAAGTGCGCAACCTGTCCTTATTGTTGATGGCAACTAGATTCAAACCAATTGCAGTGGACAGAACAAGCCATTTATCGAACTCAAACAAGATTTATGGTGAAGGAGACGTAAGGATGAGCCTCTGTATCACCTCCAAAACCAGCCATTCCTCCTTCATCCTCAGATTTCCAGAAATTGCTGCAGTTGAATTAAAAACAGTATAAATGGGGAACGTGATAGATAAACCATTTAATAACCGTCAGTCAGAGTTGGACAGAGAGACGTGTAGGTCCAAAGGACCACATAGATGTGGCATATTGAAACTGAACAAATGCATGTTCTTTTCTTACAATATACTCAATGGACAATTACAGAACTTTCAGCCTCAAAGTAGAGATAGAATGGGATAGATGTACTCGGGACCAGTAATAGTCAAACTAAATAGCATCCATGTTATAAGCATGATATATGTTCCTGCTCGGCGGAGACTGGAAGAAAATATTATGTACTTATAAACACCATTAACAGTCACGCAATACAATTTTAACATGTTAAAAGCATTACACATGTTCCTTCTTGGTGGAGATCAGGGGAAAATATTATCACATGCGAGCAGGTGACAATATGCCATACCTGTTTGAACTGTCGCAGAGTGACTCGAGAATGGAACGTACTTTCTTCTCACTTTTGGTAGAGGGTGCCAATACAACAGACTGAAAATTTATGTCAGTCCTTAAGTAATGGTAATAATCTAAATACAACCAAACAGGTAGCTGATGAGCATAATATTTGGGGGTCCAAATGAATTTACCAAAAATGATGGAGGCAAGCCATATCTCAAAATGCTCTCAGCAAAGATACGCACAGCGCAGAAGTGCATCCAGGAGCTAAAAACCTGTAGAATGATGGCAGGACATTTTAGACAAGGGTTTCAATCTCACCAACTACAATATGGGTTTCAATTTTACTAACTACAATATGGGTGAGCTGGAAATGAAAATAAATCAATCAGCACAAAGAAAAGAAAAAGGAAATAGTGAACCCACATCGAGATGGGATCCTTTTTGTTTTGAGAATGGATCGAGATGGAATCCTATTGCGAAATCTAAAAGGTAATTTACAAATTTACAGCAGTCGAAGAGCAGAAATCACAAGAGCGCACTTAGACCATTGGTCATTACTTTGGTTTTATTGGTTGAGCAAAAAATGTGCTAGAACCCTCTAGTCAAGGCGTGCACTTAATATCTAAACAGGCAACCAAATGGAGGTGCGTAGTGAAGACAAATTGCTGCAAGGACTGACCTAACATGATGTCAAATTTAACCTCTGGCTTAAGCCACTTCCCTTCACGTCCCTTAACACAATTGATAACGGAACTGCAAATCTATCCAGAATTGCTTTGCACCTTACATGCTGATATTATTCGTACTTTCTGGAAACAAACTACACACCCCACTACGTGGATCATGTTATATGGACTCATTGTGGCCTACGCCTAAATGTATCTGTGTGAATTGCTGTGGCATGGACATAGGTGTTTCCAGTTTTCTAATGGACTCTTAAATACACTAGCTTAAGATTGAACATAACCATGTAGGTTTAATGTCTCGAGGAAAAGAAATTTAGGTTTAGTGACCGACTCTATAATTCATTAAGGGGGCGTTTGGTAGGGTACATAAGAATAATGCTGAATAAGGCGTATTAGTAATGCATGGGTTAGTAATGCAAGCATGAGTTATGCAGAGATTATCTATTATCCACTGTTTGTTGTGGCGTATTAAAAATTAAAATGCATTGCATAATTTTAAGAAACTAGTTACAAAAATGTCCTCCATATTCTTTAGTTTTAAGGGACTTTAAGGACAATTTTGTCTTTAACCATGCTAATACATGCATTAATAGCCTTGGTATTCCTAATACCATGGTTTGCTATGTATTAGTTATACATAGCATAATACCAGATAGGTTGTATAACTAATACTTGCATTAGTAATACATAGGTTGAAAAAGTGTACCAAACAAGGGATTAGTGTTACCAAAAGCTAATGCATGCATTATTTTCTCTAATGCATCCTACAAAACGACCCCTAACAGAATCCATGTTGTAGAAATTTAGACCACCCCCCCCCCCCCCCAAATCTTTCACCACCCTAGTCTGCCTGGAAGCCTCCTATGAACTGTTTTCATCTCTGAATGCTGCTCACTATTATCATCTAACAGCACCAACAGAATTGAGAACCACATGTACCTTTCTGTCATAAACTTCGTTTCATCCTACAAACTGGCAACAGATGAACCAGTGAACTGTGACTGCTTTCAGGGAAAGCATGGATTGGGGGTTATAGGTCAATGAAGATTGCTATCACGTGCTAATTAGATTGAAAAACATGACTTATTGACCCCGTCAAGCGAATTACATTACTACACCCCCGATACACCCTTTAGGGGTGTTCAGATGGTCAGTTCACTTTTCAATCAAACATCCGTTCCTGTTTCCAAATGTTTTGATTTTTCGTTTTGAGTAACCAAAATCATACACTTATTGACTAACTATTGGACATGCGACTGGCTATTTATTAGAGGGATGTAAAGATGTTGTAAACAAGTTTATATGGTTTTCAGATGACATAAATTATCTAGTCCTCTTCCTTAACAATTTTACAATGTCAAATGAAATATAAAGTAATAATATTGTTATTTGTTCTCAGACCGCACTGGTGGGATTCAACTGGGTTGTTGTTGTTCTTGTTGTTGTTGTTCCATGGGATATCTCAACCCATTAAGTGCACCCTGTCGGAGTATAATACCTTGTTGAAGACCTTCATCATTGGAACTTAAGTATATGCAGAACACGTGATTTTTCTTGTTAAATTAGACGAAACCAAGCAAACCAAGTGTAGCTCAGCTCATATTTACCAAAAGAAAGCCTAGTTGGCCCGAGCTGAAATATGAGTGAGGTGAGCCAAGCATAAGTCGGCTCTACTCAATGTCCAGGCCAAAGAGTTAATTTCTTCTCCTGAAGTTGGTGCTAATTGAATCTTTAATCATGAGCTTACTCATTCAAAACTCTAATGAGATCTCATCTACATGCCTTACCTCAACCCTCATTAAAGTTGGACTAGCCAATGGGAACACTTGATAACGTGCCTATTTCTAAGCAATCAACAATAAACATTTGGTAGAAAAACAACATACTAGAATTTCGAAACAAAATGAACATTGTTCCCGAATAGGATATAATTGCAAGAAGCGAATTAATTTGCAATCAAAAAGTTGGAAATTGACTTCTTCAGATGAATTCTGCTACATATCTCAATTTAGCATAGTTGTTCTAGAATTAATAGACACAACAACAACAACAAACCTAGTGAAGTCCCACAAATGGGGTCTGCGGAGGATAGTGTGTACGCAGGTCTTACCCCTACCCTTGGGAGGTAGAGAAGCTGTTTTAGATAGACCCTCGACTCAAGAAGATGAAAAGCAACACTAGAAACAAGCAACATCAGCGACAAAGGCCAGAAAGGTAATAACAGCAATCTAAGAACCAGAAAAATGGATGAAGGAAGCAATAGCAACAAGCAGTAACAACGGCAAAATACTAGTAAACTGAAGCGTAAGATAGCATGAAAATAACATGTAATACTAGCAATCTAAGAACAAGACACTAGCAGACTAATCCTAAAAAACCCCGGTACAAGACAGAAAAATGCTCGACGACGTATCAACTTTCTACCCTAATTCTCGACTTCCACACCCTCCTATCAAGGGTCATGTCCTCGATAAGCTGAAGTCGTCCTGCCTGATCACCTCTCCCCAATACTTCTTTGGCCGCCCTCTACCTCTTCTCATACCCACCAAAATCAATCGCTCACACCTCCTTACTGGAGCATCTAAGCTTATCCTCTTCACATGACCGAACCATCAAACCATCGCTTCTCACATCTTGTCCTCTATGGGGGCCACGCCCACCTTTACCCGGATATCTTCATTCCTAATCTTATCCAACCTAGTATGCCGGCACATCCATCACAACATCCTCATTTCTACTACTTTCATCTATGAATATGGGAGTTCTTGACTGACCAACACTCTGGCCCATACAATATAGTCAGTCTAACCACCACCCTGTAAAACTTACCTTTAAGTTTTGGTGGCACATTCTTGTCAGACAAGACGTCAGACGCTAACCTCCATTTCATCCACCCCGCCCTATAAGATGTGTGACATCCTCTCCCCATTCCCTTGGATAACAGACCCAAGATACTTATAACTCTTGGAGATGACTTGTGAATCAAGTCTCACGTCCATGTCCGCTCCCTCCGTCACGTCGCTGAACTTTCACTCCAAGTATTTTGTATTAGTCCTGCTCAACTTGAAACCTTTAGACTCTAGAGTTGTCTCCAGACCTCCAACTAGTCGTTAATACCGCCTCACGTCTCGTCAATCAGTATTCAGTACTATGTCTCTAGAATTAATAGAAGGGAATAAAAAAGATAAAAGAGAGAGCAAGTGCTTGAATGTGTACATGATCCATTTTCTTGCCCATGGCATTCAGTCAGGAAGAGTACATTGGAGTTTAAAAACAGTACATGTTTAAATGTTTTATCAAAAGAAAGATACAATACATGTGGAACAGTGTTATAAATAGCGCTCGCCTCAGCGCTAATAGCGTGAGGCGAGGCGAGGGTGTGTCGCTTCAATGCTTCTGTTGCGTTGCGATTCCAAATAGCGCTCGCTTCAGGGTGTGTTGCGTGAGGCGACTGTGTGGCGACTAGCGACTGTAGCATCGTTATTTTTAGATTAAAAAAAGAGAAAGGGAGAAGACTTAAGTCGGGAATTAGGGCTTCGAATTATTTCACCCGCGAACAAAAAAACTTCAGCGATTAGGGCTTTTCACCTGCGAACAAACCAACGGTCTTCTCAGCCTTCTTCTTCATCATCTGGCTTCATCTTCTTCAAGCTTCAACAGCGAAAAAACAGAGGTATGCTTCTTCTTCCTTCTTCTTTCTTCTTTCTTCTTTCTATTTTTTATTTTTTTTCTTCTGTTTTTTGTCGATAGAAACAGAGCCAAATAGGGTCTTCTTTCTTCTTTCTTCTTCTCTTCTTCTTTCTATTTTTTTTCTTCTGTTTTTTGTCGATAGAAACAGAGCCAAATAGGGTCTGTATTTGTGCTGTTTTTGTCGAGCAAAAACTGATGGTTTTCTTCTGCTCTTATTTTTTTTTTTTTTTGCTCTGTTTTGTTTTCTTCTTTATTTGCTGTTTTTCTAGAGGCAAAATTTCATTTTTGTTCTTCTTTCTTTGCTGTTTCCAAAGGCAGAATCAATTTTTTGTTTTGCTATGTTTTTTTGTCTTTTTTTCTTTGCTGTTTTTTTCCAGAGGCAGTGTTACTGTTTCCAAAGGCAGAATCATTTTTTTTGCTCTATTTTTTTTGTCTTCTTTAGATAGTAGAATTAATTGCATATTGACTTGACAATTTTTTCTATAAAACAGCGTTGGGATGGCGTCATCCGATAATACTAAACGAAATGATATAGCTTGGAATTATGCTATACAAGGCTCGTCAAGATTCGCAATTAAATGTGTGTTTTGTCAAAAAACATACAATGGTGGGATAACTCGTCACAAGCAACATATGATAGGTGGATTTAAAAATGTAATACAATGTTCCACTTGTCCGCCCGAGGTTAGGGAGGAAGTAAAGGCGTTTGTTGAAAAGAAAAATATGGCAAGAACTCAAATGAATTATGAAGCATCGGTGAATCTAATTGACGAAGATGATGAAATGGATGAATAAGGTGAAATGGGACCTCCCCCCCCCCCCCTAAAACTCATAAGATAAATCCAAATATGTCTAGTGGGTCATCCACGGCACGTACGGTGACAAAAGGTCCTCTCAATCTTTATTTCTCGGGAAAACAACAAGAAAGGGGAAAAAGTGAAGAAGGTTCAGGTTTAGAAGCCAAGAAGATTTTGAGGGATCGCGCCGTCAGTGCCTTTGCATCATGGATGTACGATGCGGGGCTTCCTTTCAACTGTGTCAACTACAAAACTTTTGACAAATTCATTGAGGCCGTAGGACAATATGGCCCAGGAATGAAGCCTCCTAGCTATCATGAAGTTAGAGTAACTCATCTTAAAAAGGAGGTGAAGAAGATAGACCAAATTATTGAGGAGCATAAAGTGGAATGGAACAAGTTTGGATGTTCCATTATGATGGATAAACGGACAGCACGGAATGGAAAAATGATCATAAATGTGTTGGTGAACTCCAAGAGGGAGTGTTTTTCTTGAATCTCACGATGCTAGCAACTCTTCTACGGATGGAAGCAAAATGCACAGCTTGTTAGAAATACTATTGATAAAATTGGAAAGGAAAATGTTGTACAAATTGTTACAGATAATGCTAGTGAGGATGTTAGTGCGGGGAAGATGATGGAAGCTATGTATCCAAACATTTATTGGACTCCATGTGCTGCCCATTGTTATCAACTTGATGCTTGGTAACATATTCAAGGAATACCCATATGCTTCAGGTAACTTTAATATAGTTATCTTTAAAGCCTTTAACTTTATTTATACTAATCCTATTAACTATTAAGTATTAAGTATTAACTATAAAATTATTATTGTTACTTTTACAGTTTTCAGGCCGTTAAGGCATATGCTTACATCAGTCAGAGGCCGTTGTTGTTGAATTTGATGAGGAAATTCACAAATGAAAGAAATTTGGTGAGACCGGCCAAGACTAGATTTGCAACGGCTTTCTTAACTTTACATAGTTTTTACTTGCAAAAGAAAAATTTGAGAAGGCTAGTTCTTTCGAATGAATGGAAAGATAATAAATATGCAAAGGAAGCTGCGGGGAAAGAAACTGCCAAAGTTCTTATTTGTCCATCATTCTGGAATGACGTCGTTCGGGCTCTTAAAGTTGGTGGTCCTTTGATTAGGGTGCTTCATATGGTGGATGGGGAGAAAAAACCATCAATGGGCTATCTTTATGAAGCTATGGATAGAGCCAGAGAGAGTATTGCAGCGTCATTTGATGGAGATGTTAGGAAATATGAGAAAGTTTTTGAGATAATTGATACCAGGTGGAACAATCAACTCCATCGACCTTTGCATGCAGCAGGCCATCTTCTGAACCCGGGATTATTTTACAAGAACACTAGAGATAAAACTTTGGATTCAGAAGTGTGGATTGGATACCATGCATGTCTTGAGAAGTTGATCCCTAATTCAGCGACGACAGATCAAATAGGGGAGGAGTTTGGTAAGTACTCACAAGCAGAGGGCCTATTTGGTTTACCGGCTGCCATTAGAGCAAGAGACATAAGGTCGCCAGGTAACTAACTTTAATATAGATATTCTTATAACTTTAATTTAATTTATTTGATTTATACTTATTAACTTTTAAAATATTTTTCTATAGTTGAATGGTGGAAGCAATTTGGACATCAAACTCCAAACTTGCAAAAGTTTGCCATCAAAGTATTAAGCCTAACTTGTAGTGCATCTGGATGCGAGAGAAATTGGAGCGTATTTGAGCATGTAAGAAGTAGATTTATTATATTAATATATTCTATATTGTATTATTATTAGTATCTATTAATCAATCTAAATAACGTATGGGCAGATTCACTCCAAGAAAAGGAATAGGCTTGAGCTATCACGTCTCAATGATCTAGTGTATATTAAATACAATAGAACATTGAGGCGACGTTATGAAGCTCGCGATACCATTGATCCAATTTTGTTGGACAACATTGATGAGGCAAATGAATGGTTAACTGGAGCCTCCCAAAATCATGAAGATGAACAAGTGTATGAAGGAGATGATCTTGATTGGGGTACTGTTTCTATGGCCATTGGAGTTGAGGAGAATATCTATGGACTTAGAGGGAGTTCTTCAAGTTACAAGGGAAAGGGAGTAGCAAGTTCAAGCCGGTCCCTAATTGATGAAGAGTTCGAGGATGAAGAAGATGATAGCCAATATAATGCTAACATTCATGAAGTTGTAGAATTTGAAAATCTTGAAGAAGAATAGATGTTGCTTGTTTTAGAGTTTAGACTATTAGTTTTAATTTATGAATTCTACTATGTAGTCTATGTACTATCTATTGAGTCTTTAATTTTTGGATTGATATATTTANTTGTCCACTACTCTCTGGAAAGCTATGAACTCTTTGACAAAAAATTAGTTGGCGCAATTAGAAAAGCTATTACAAGATAAGAGAAAATTAATCACTAACAATTTAAAAATAATCAGGCACTCAGAAAAGTTTTTCACCAGAACTTTGATCATATATGATCATAGTTCTGGTGAAAAACTTTTCTGAGTGCCTGATTATTTTTAAATTGTTAGTGATTANGGGGGGGGGAGGGGGGGGTCAGCTTATAAGTGATTATGAGGAATATCTATGGAAACTACCTCCCTATGCGAGCTTGTAGCTTTATCTATTTGTATAGATTAACCAACTGGATACCCAGTTATCGGTTTCCATAACATACAAAAATTTACCTGTGATTTTTATACCGGGTAGGATTTTAATTTGCCAAACAAACGGAATAACCAAGATGGTAATGCAACAGAAACTAAACCAACAGCAAAATTAACTGTTCCATATCTTTTTTAGCCAACTTGAAGAGTTGGTATCCTGTTTAAACAAACAATTGGACACCCTTAACCGCCTTGTCTCACCCTCTGCCCCACGACAGAGTCTCCAACCTCATCCTCTTTTTAAACCACATATATGATCATAGTTCTGGTGAAAAACTTTTCTGAGTGCCTGATTATTTTTAAATTGTTAGTGATTAATTTTCTCTTATCTTGTAATAGCTTTTCTAATTGCGCCAACTAATTTTTTGTCAAAGAGTTCATAGCTTTCCAGAGAGTAGTGGACAAGGTCATAGTTGATAGGTTCTTTTAAGATGAAGCATCATAGCTTCATACTGGCACACTTTGTCCTTCAACTTATGTTGGGAAGAAATGGGGGAGCAGGTTGTGGAATGAGATGGAGGATAAGAGACAAAGGATGGTGTAGGTGCAAAGGGTGAAGGCAGTAGGTTGAGAGGGTGGGCGGGAAGCAGTTGATTAGGGGGTCGCCATGGGAAGCAGTAATTGTGGAATATGTTGGAAGGGTGATATGGCACACAGTTGTTCTGTTGTTTTCCTTTTCCTTCTCTTTTCTTCAAATTTCAGAAGAAAAAACAACAAGAATATCCTTAGTTTATTTTAGCACATATCAAATGTCCCATTTTCTAAATGCAGATAACTATAAGTTCCAAATTTTGAAGCAGATAAAAGTTAGACGACCAGTGAAATGAATTTCAGGGGGACAGAATTACACTTTTTTTTCTTGTTTACAACAGCGAATGGAATAATTTCCAGTTTTACTGGATCACATATCTAAAGCTGTGAATGTCTGTTGATTGTTATAGCCTTATAAGCATAGTTGGCGTCAAAAAGAAAGCCTGGGAGTGATAGTCATTTAACCACACAACTAAACCCCAATCCCATGATTGTTGTGTCGGCTATATAAATCATCAACATCCATCTCGCTCCACTTGCCCAATTCATTCCAATATTCAATAGTTTCGGATTTCCTAACAAACTAGAGGTTTCTTCACCTTTTTAACAAAAACAAAAATCTCTAACGCCTAGTAAAGGACCAAATGTAAGTATACCAAACTAAGCTTAATTCCCACTAATTGGTATCGATTATATGGATCTTTTGCTTCTTTTGTGTTATATTTTTCTTTAAGCCCACATGAATTTAAGAGATGCAAATCTCGTTCCATGTAATTTTAAGCCAACCTCGTTCATTACTAACACCTTTAATTATTACAGTATCACACCTACGACCAATGCATTTGAAGGTCCACATAGAGCATGAACAAACGATCTTAAGCAGCATTATTTAATTTTGTCTTCTGTTTGTGCTACTTGAACCTTCTGTGAGATGGGATAATTTCTTCATTTAACCATAATATGGACTTTTCCTGATTTTTGCCTTTCTACGAAACAAGGGTGATATCCAAAATTGCAACAACTATCGGGGTATCAAGCTACTGAGCCATAGTATGAAAGTATGGGAGAGGGTGGTGGAGCAGAGGGTGAGGAGAATTGTGTCTATTTTCATAGAACCAATTCAGATTTATGCCGGGGTGTTCTACTACAGAAGCTATTCACCTTGTTAGGAGGTTGATGGAGCAGTATAGAGAGAGGAAGCGGGATTTATATATGGTGTTCATCGACTTAGAGAAGGCTTACGATAAAGTGCCGAGGGAGGTGTTATGGAGATGTTTGGAGGTTAGAGGCGTTTCTGTTGCATACACTAGGGCTATTCAAGACGTACGATGGAGCTAAGACTCGAGTGAGGACAGTGAGAGGGGACTCGGAACACTTCCTGGTTGTGATGGGGTTGCATCAGGGGTCAGCCCTTAGCACATTTCTGTTCGCCCTGGCAATTGACGCGCTGACGCATCGCATTCAAAGGAAGGTGATGTGGTGCATATTATTTGCAAATGACATTGTACTGATTGACGAGATGCGAGGTGGTGTTAACGAGAGGTTAGAGGTTTGGAGGAGACCCTGGAGTCTAAAGGTTTCGAGTTGAGCAGGACCAAAACAGAATACTTGGAGTGCAAGTTCAGTAGCGCGACTCAGGAAGTGGACGAAGACATGCGGCTTGATTCACAAGTCATTCCTAGGAGAGAAAGTTCCAAGTACCTTGGGTCTGTTATACAAGGTAAATGGGGATCGACAAGGATGTCACACACCGTATTGGACGGAATGGATGAAATGGAGGCTTGCTTCCGGTGTTCTGTGTAACAAGAATGTGCCACCAAAACTTAAAGGTAAGTTTTATAGAGCGGTGGTCAGACCGACTATGCTGTATGGGGCGGAGTGTTGGCCAGTCAAGAACTCTCATGTACAGAAGATGAAGGTGGCTGAAATGGGGATGTTAAGATGGATGTACGGGCATACCAGGTTAGATAGAATTAGAAATGAAGTTATCCGGGACAAAGTGGGTGTGGCCCTTGTGGAGGATAAGATGCGGGAGGCGAGACTTAGATGGTTCGGGCATGTTAAGAGGAGAGGCATTGATGCCCCGGTGAGGAGGTGTGCGAGGCTGGCGTTGGAGGGCCAACGAAGAGGTAGAAGCAGGCCGAAAAACTATTGGGGAGAGGCGATTAGGCGAGATATGGCGTTGCTCCAGCTGAGGAAATGATCATGGATAGGAAGGTGTGGAGGTTGAGAATAAAGGTAGAGGGTTAGGCAGCCGAGTGTTATCCTTGTTTGTCACAGTAGTTTTGATACATCACTTAGTGTCCTTCGTGTTTTATCCCTAGATTGTTGTTATTACTTGTTGGTGCCTTGTTCCGGTTTTCTGATTGCATTACTTAGTGTTAGTTTTGTATTTTCGCTTCGGTTGCCAGATTGGTTTGCTTGTTTCTGCCCCTTCCCTTTTTTCCTTCTTGAGCCGAGGGTCTACCGGAAACAGCCTCTCTGTTTTTTAAAAGGCAGGGGTAAGGTCTGCGTACACTCTACCCTCCACATACCCCACTTGTGGGACTACATTGGGTTTTTTGTTATTGTTACGAAACCAATCAATCAACTTTTTTGGTGAAACATATTGTAATCAGTCAATACATCCATTTCACTAGGTTTTTGCAGTACTATAACATGTAATACAAGGTTCACAAGAGAAAGTTCATTCGCTCCACCTTAAGAAATTTTAAAGTTTAACACTTCATCTACGATTTAGCCTTTGACCACTATGTTAGATAAATAGAAAATCACTGGAGGTATGTAAGGCCATGTCTAGAATGCGCCAACTGCTAGGTTAAAATACTCACACAAAGCGCTAAAGCTACCTCCTAGCATGGCATGCCGCTTTGTTTTCCAGCCACGTTATGCTCCACCAAGGTACATATTTCCACAAAATTTTATCTAGTTCAGCTTACAATTTATGGATGAGCTGAAAACAACCACCACATGTTTATTTTTGTTTTATTTTCAATCACGATTTAAGAACGAAAAAGGGAAAAAATCAAGGTACAAGATGAGATTCCTTAAAGCTATTTGCCTGAACATGAACAAGAGTAAGGACAATGTTATACACTGGCAACCAGAAATTAACACCTGCCTTTTCACACACCCAACTTGTGCCCGGAAGGAAAAAAGAGCAGATCCTTTTGGTGTTTGTTAGGCAATTGTTAAAGAAAGATAATAGAAGTTAACAAGAAAAATCACATGTTTTGCTGACCCGTTCCCCGCTAATTAAGAGCTTGTCTTCTTTCCAAGCCATGATGCATTTCGCTCGGTCGAAATACTGAAAAGCTTAATAGCTTCTTCACTGGCAGAGGAAGGGTATGAAAAGATCCACCGACATTTAATGAAAAAATTAACAAAGAACTCCAATACTTAATTGATATCACTTCGAATTTGGCAAATCCTCTCACCACAGCATGTTCCCTTCTCCGCTTTAAGATCTCCTCTCATTTTCTCTATTTCTTCCCGTGTCTCATTGTTGGTTGGTAAATAATTTAGGTCTCTTCAATCATCATTTTTTAAAGTTTTTGCAATAAAGAACGCTATTTTGAGAGGGGGGGGGGGTGGATAAGGTGATAGGTTATGATTGTTTTCCATTTATTCTTTCCATAATTCATTTCCAGATAATGAAAAACAAAGACTGCAAAGACTTTTTCCTAGTCACAGAACATGCTCCCTCAGTTTCACATATTGCTCATGTAAGATGAGACTTGGTCCCCGGACAATGGTAAGGCTCCCTCTCTTTCCCTACAGTTCATTTTGAAGGTTCATGGGATCAATTCATGAATATATTCTCTTGAATATCGTAAGCATTTTACTTCTACCGACTCTATCAGATCATAAATCCAAGAGGAGTAAACTCATTCTGTATCCTTGAAATAGTCAAAATCCAAGTTAGCATCTGATTGTAAAGTGATCTTGAGATAACTCATAGACTTCACCAACAACCATAATGTGATAGGTTATTTTGTTAGCTCAAAGTAGTGAAGTGCAGAAGAGACTTAAAGATCCT